GGCCCCCCCCCCCCAACGTTGCAGGGCCAATTTAACCCAGGGGCTTTTATTTGCACAAACTTGGTAGACACCCATAAGAAAATGTTTCATGCTAAACATCTAAGCTCTAGCTCATTGGGATTTTTAAAAGAAGATTTTTTTCAAGTTTTTACTATACACATATAGTTAAAAACAATAACACCCCTGGGGTGGGGCCAGTTTTGACCACAGGGCTTTTATTTGAACAAATTTTGTAGACACTTACTAGAAGATGTTTCATGCTTAATATCTAAACTCTAGCTATTTGGGTTTTTTCAAAGAAGATTTTAAGTTTTTGCTATACACATATAAAGAAAATCAATGACCCCCGGGGCAGGGCCAATTTTGACCCCAGGTCTTTTATTTGAACAAACTTTGTAGACACTCACTAAAAGATGTTTCATGCTTAATATCCTAACTCTAGCTATTTGGGTTTTTTCAAAGAAGATTTTTTTAAGTATTTGCTATACACATTTAAGGAAAATCAATGACCCCCGGGGCGGTGCCAATTTTGACCCCAGGGCTTTTATTTGAACAAACTTGGTAGACACCTATAAGAACATGTTTGATGCTAAATATCTTAGCCATAGCTCTATGAGTTCTTTAAAAGAAGATTTTTAAGTTTTTACTATATGCATATAGGGAAAATCAATGACCCCCCGGGGCGGGGCCAATTTTGACCCCAGGGCTTTTATTTGAACAAACTTGGTAGACACTTATTAGAACATGTTTCATGCTAAATATCTTGGCTCTAACTCTTTTGGTTCTTTAAAAGAAGATTTTTTAAGTTTTTACTATATGCATATAGGGAAAATCAATGACCCCCTGGGGCGGGCCAATTTTGACCCCAGGGCTATTATTTGAACAAACTTGGTAGACACCTATTAGAACATGTTTGATACTCAATATCTTAGCCATAGCTTTTTGAGTTCTTTAAAAGAAGATTTTTTAAGTTTTTACTATATGCATATAGGGAAAATCAATGACCCCCCGGGGCGGGACCAATTTTGATCCCAGGGCTTTTATTTGAACAAACTTGGTAGACACCTATATGAACATGTTTGATGCTCAATATCTTAGCTATAGCTCTTTGAGTTCTTTAAAAGAAGATTTTTTAAGTTTTTTACAATATGCATATAGGGAAAATCAATGACCCCCTGGGGCGGGGCCAATTTTGACCCCAGGGCTTTTATTTGAACAAACTTGGTAGACACCCATTAGAACATGTTTCATGCTAAATATCTTAGCTCTAGCTCTTTGGGTTCTTTAAAAGAAGATTTTTTAAGTTTTTACTATATGCATATAGGGAAAATCAATGACCCCCCGGGGCGGAGCCAATTTTGACCCCAGGGCTTTTATTAGACCAAACTTGGTAGACACCCATTAGAACATGTTTCATGCTAAATATCTTAGCTCTAGCTCTTTGGGTTCTTTAAAAGAAGATTTTTAAGTTTTTACTATATGCATATAGGGAAAATCAATGACCCCCTGGGGCGGGGCCAATTTTGACCTCAGGGCTTTTATTTGAACAAACTTGGTAGACACCTATTAGAACATGTTTGATGGTCAATATCTTAGCCATAGCTCTTTGAGTTCTTTAAAAGAAGATTTTTTAAGTTTTTACTATATGCATATAGGGAAAATCAATGACCCCCCCGGGCAAGCCAATTTTGATCCCAGGGCTTTTATTTGAACAAACTTGGTAGACACCTATTAGAACATGTTTTATGCTCAATATCTTAGCCATAGCTCTTTGAGTTCTTTAAAAGAAGATTTTTTAAGTTTTTACTATATGCATATAGGGAAAATCAATGACCCCCTGGGGCGGGGCCAATTTTGACCCCAGGGCTTTTATTTGAACAAACTTGGTAGACACCTATTAGAACATGTTTCATGCTAAATATCTTAGCTCTAGCTCTTTGGGTTCTTTAAAAGAAATTTTTTTAAGTTTTTACTATATGCATATAGGGAAAATCAATGACCCCTGGGGCGGGGCCAATTTTGACCCCAGGGCTTTTATTTGAACAAACTTGGTAGACACTCACTAGAAGATGTTTCATGCCAAATATCTAAGCTCTAGCTCTTATGGTTTTTTAAAAGAAGATATTTAAAGTTTTTTCTTTCGGTTGCCATGGCAACCAGAGTTCTGCATGGAATTAAATTCTTTGAACAATTTTTAAAGGTGACCACCAAAGGAACATTCCTGTGAAGTTTGGATGAAATTGGCTCAGTGGTTTATGAGGAGATGTCATTTAAAGTAAAAGTTTACGGACGGACGCCGGACGGACGCCGGACGAAAAGCGATCACAAAAGCTCACCCTGTCACTTTGTGACAGGTGAGCTAAAAATCAGCGTTAAATATATATGCAGTGGGTGGGGTAATGCGGTAATTTCGCAATGAGCGTTCTAATGAGAGCCTCGTTAGAACGCGGTGTTGAGACATTGGACCCCAACATGAGCGTTTTAATGAGGCTGAAGTGTAGCTTAGTTGGCAAAATCTTAAAATATACATTAAAGATGTTTTATGTAAAATGTTCCAAGTTAAATTAGAGCTATTTTAAATAGTTAAGTCTTTTCAGTTTATGATGGCACCGGTTTTCCATTATTATACTTTTGTTGTATACTCCCTATGAATTAAAATGGACATTTCAGGGCCATTCCCTGAGCTATTTCAGTGCCATTCCCTGAGTGATTTCAGGGCCATTCCCTGAGCGATTTCAGGGCCATTCCCTGAGCGATTGCAGGGCCATTCCCTAAGCTATTGCAGGGCCATTCCCTGAGCTATTGTGGTAATTACTTTAGAATAAAGAAATAAAATAATCTTTTAGCTTCTTAGTTTTTGTCATTATGTTATTATAAAGGCCAGTCTGGCAAAGACTTCAGTTCAAAACAATTTGAAAAGAATTTCTCAGCATAATTAAAACCTTGACATCAAATAAATGAATATGTTTCTTTAATCAAACGAATTACATTATGTCTTCACATGGCTACATGCAAATGTAAACAAACCCCATATTGTGCATTAACAGCGATATATAATCTATCAATATATTAAAGATCGTACAAAAACATTGATCGGCTCTCTTTTCGAATTTGAATAACCCTCGTCAGGACAAAAACCTTGCATGACTCCTTTGAACATGTCATAATTAATCAGGAAGGGATTTATATGACATTATAAATACATCCCCGATGATTGTATTATTCTTGTAAATCGCATTACCTTGAACACAATGTTTATATCTTTTTACATGAAAAGTTCCTTCACTTGCATGAACAGGTACTGTTTTGTGAATAAGAATAAAGTGCACACGATAAAAAAACAAGACTAGATCGATTTATTTTAAGACATATCTGCATGCAGAAAAGCATGTTTTGTCAGAACACTGAATATGAGTCATGATAAAAATTTAAATGCTAAATCTCCAGTTATTAATGAATTCATTTTTGGAATTTCAAGCTGTCCATTGTAAGTGCTTGGAATTGTATGCTGCCAGTAAATGATTGTTTCAATGCATCCAGTGCAGACCTTGATCAGATGGCACAGAGGATGAATGGTCTGCACTGGTTGCATGGGTAGAATCATTTTCAAACAGCATACTGAATGTGCACGCAGCAGGCTGGCAAAGTTCAATACTGGTAGAAAAGGATTAATTTCCATACAGGAAGAAAAGGCTAAGTTTCCATACTGGCAGAAAAGGCTTAGTTTCCATACTGGCAGAAAAGGCTAGTTCTATACTGGTAGAAAAAAGGCTAACTTCAATGCTGTTAGAAAAGGTTCATCAATTTCGTTTCAAACAGGTTAAGGGTTAAATTAGGTATTCTGCATCTCAAAAATAAATTTGTACTTCTGACTGCCTATGGAAGGTCCCTAAATATCTTATTTACACTTTATTTACACTTAAAATAACTTGGTACTGTTTCAGCATCTGCCAAATAATGATTTTTTTATTCCTTTGAAAGGTTTACAGAAAATACTTGAAAAGAAAAGTGTTTTACATACAACCTTAATCCCCCTCAGGCTTTAAGTACCAATATTAAATGGTTTAATTCACCATTTCTGACATATATATGTTTACATGAATAACTGTGAGGTATGTAGATTATACAGTTGTGAATTAATAATTCTATCAATATAGCTGTAGAATATACATATTTGACCTAGATACATGTTTTTTTTCTCTCTCCCTCCCTACACAACTTCTTATATTAACTTTATAATTTATGGTGTTTTATTTTCTTTATTTTATTGTTAGGGGAATACCTGATACCCTTATACTGTTAGGGGAATACCTGAGGTGTCCATCCATGCAATATTTCAGGCACAAACAGGCACCTGAGTAGAACCATTGATGTTCCGTAAACTAGCTGGATACTTCCTCATATGAACAAATCCACAGCGATGAGGTTTATTAACTTATATATACAGTATGATTTCTGTACAGCAACGCTCTTTTGAAGACAAAAACTTTGTTGTTGTCAATAGGTGTTGCTAATACAGAGATTAAATTTATTGCAAAGTCTCCAGCATCCCACTCCACTCCAATGCCCAACTTTGGCCATGCAAGTCAACAATCCAATAATTATATCAACATTGTATGTTAAATTGACATTATGCCCATCTTATGGTAAATAGTAAGTGAATGGGTGAAGATCAAAATTAGTTTTCATTTTGTCATGATTCCTTTTAATTTTATAATTAAGTTCACATAAACAATAAATAACACAGATCCAAACGAAATCTCTGTAAATATCCATTAGAATTTACCTATTATACTTAGTTTATAAAAAGAGTGGGGCAGTCTTTATATATTTTAGGCAGATTTATAATTTTATCCTAATCATTTTCCAATATCAACTGTTGGTCAAGCACCATTTTGACGGTCAATCTTTGGAAATAAAAAGTCAGTTCAGCTCAACTTGACTATGAGATATGAGCATAATGTCACTTTAAAAGTCACTAACACCTTAAAAACACCTACCCTTTTAAATTTCTCTAGCTTCCCTTGAGGACATTCTTTCTTGTAGAATTTCTTGAGCCGCCTCATTTCAGGTTTGGTCATTCCTATAGATGACAGGTCCTCTTCTGCTACATATTTAATCTGTGGAACAGTTGCAATCTACAAGAACACAAAAAGAGCAGACATACATAAAACATAACAACAGACAATTCCAAAGCAGACGACAATTTAAAGCAGACGACAATTTTCCACACCCTATGCTTTAAACAAATTTAATTTTTATTTCTTTCAACATATTCAGGGTTAGAATATAGATTTGCCTATTTCAACGCTTAACCCTCTTAGTATCTGCTGGAACCAAAAAAAAAGGTAGCCTTTGCAACCAGTAGAGCCAGGCCAGCCTGCTTATTGGTGCAGTCTGACAAGGCTCTATACTGTTTGCTGACCAATTAAATTGAATTTCAAATTTTCATCCCGACATACCCATACTCATAATGGTCATGCCTTTCAAAACAGGAAGCTGGATAAGTCCCTAAAAAAAATTCAACGGGTAAAGGGTTCAAGTCCAAGCAACCAACAACATAGGGACTAGTCAGACTACTATGATGTAATATTAAGCATTTGTGTGCATCTTGCATATGCCACAATTACAAAGCCACATGCCAACCTGCCAGTAGGTCACCAGACCTAACATTCCAACTAAATTTTATCATATTTTGATGCTGAAATCCTTTTTAAATACCAATGGACTGATTCAAATGGTAAAACTGAACAAGTTCATTTGAACACCAACTTTGAAGCTCTCGGCTATCTTTTAGACAGGCATGAATCTGCATATTATGTTACATAGAGTATATAGTCTGTCATTGCATGAGAAAAGTGATTTCCTCACCACCAGTATCGTTGTATATATTACAATATACATAATATATACATGTGTATATAATAATATGTCTGGTATTGCTGTAAGTATTATTTCATGCAAATTTCCTTGCTTCCTGGCACTGTGCTTAATCATTTAATTATTTATTTTCACATGAATCTTTCCTACACACTAGTTCACTGGAACTATAGCAATAGTAGCGTAAATGAGATTATTTCCTCGAAAAATAATTTAGCCATTACGTCCCTGATACTGATAATGTAATGGTGAATTGTTAATTTCTGGAATTAATTAATTCAATATAAAAATTTGTAAATGAATTGTGGTCTACTTATTATGGTCAAGTAGGATCTTTAGGTTTAAGTCTTACTCATGAGGGGAGAGGGATTGGGGATAGAATCAAGAATAGTTCAAAAATCAATTGCGCTATACCATGTAATCATACCCATTACCACATTTAATACTTTAAATTCACTTTTAATTTGGAGAAAATGAAGTGAATGAACAGACCATGATCAGACAGTGCTGATGTGGAAACTGATCTTGGTCTGTACTAGTTGAATGGGTGTAATCAGTTTCTGCTACCAGGCAAAGAGCTAAACTTTAAAGTACAGGGGTTAAATGTGTAAAGACTTAGTGTCTTGGCTCTGGCTAAACTTCTATGCAGGCACTTGACATTGCTATGTTATACATTTATGGCACATTACAGCCTGCATAAAATTTTGAAGTAAGTGAACTTGATCCTATACCCCATCACAATTATACTATTCAGAATGTTAATTTCATAATCTTATTTTCCAAAAAATGACTTAAAATTTTTAGAAAGTCCACCAGCAGAGTGTGAATAAATGATAAAATTGTCACCTTAAACAAAACTAGCATTATTAATAACTAAGCTACAGAAGAAATTGAATGGACAGTAAAAAAAACACACACTTATTCAACATGAAGACTTGGGAGTTCGCCAACACAATTTCTGTTTCATTAAATTCAAATCTTATCAAATGCAATACAGCTTTTTAGAATGAGATTTATAAATTCCTTAGGTAAGCATTTATTCATTCATTGTTAAAAGTATCACACATAAATTGATGGTTAAAAGGGTATATAGCTATACTAAATGTGTGTAATTTGTGTAAATTTGTGTAAATTTGGCACATTTTGCTTCATTACAATGTTTAACAACTTTTAAACAACAAGAACTGTCAAAGAAGCCTGCTGTACTTTTCTCAGCACCCAAAAGTTAGCGGATTATAGTAGCTAAGCATTGAAGTTATTAATGACCATTAACTAAATCTTAACCAAAAAGGTTAACCAATGCACCACCACTGCAAAGTAGATTCTTGGCAGTTGCTCTATTTTTTCTCTAACACAATTAGAGTTACTAAAATTGAAAATAAAAGTAACAGTAAGGCTATCCAAATAAATAAGAGATATACAGAAAAAGAACAGGCTGGTCCATTTCATACACACTTGCTTTATTTGTACAATGGACTTTTGTCCTGTTCTGAATTTAGACCGATCCATTTTGTGTTTGAGGGGATCAAACCTATGACATAATTTAGAAGACAACATTTTTTTGTCCAACATGCAGGCACTTCAAAAAAGCTGTTCACCTGACATATGCTAGCTGAATAGCCAACATAAAATAACTATAAATTCTTGTTGTGCAAGTTGCCTTTGACTTCTGGATTTCTGATCGAAACTAAATAAGTCGGTATCACCACCACCACAATTGGTCACAGATCAGCAGACTGGCATAGCTTTATCAGTTCACTATATTAAAGTGACTATTGCTGCATATCATTCTAAATGTTTATGTTTTACCTTGAGCTCATTTTTGAAGGCACTGTAGTAATGATCTAGTTCTGCTTCCAGCATGAAATCTTTCAGATCTCTAACTGTCCCCATGTTTTCACTGTTGTGACCCTCTCCTGTAATACAAAATAAAATACAAAAATGTAGATTGAAATATACCGTAGTACATTCATCACATAAAAATTGTTATAATTAATGGTACCAATCTAAGTATTGAAGCCAGTTTCAGTCTTTGACCCACATTACATAAAATACTGTTACCACATAATTTCAAAACTAAAGAGATAGGAGACCAGTCTGGCAATCTCTTTCTTTGATTGGTTGATTTAAATTCAAAATTTCAAATTGACCTATCACATGAAGGCATGCACAGACTGATGCTCCAGTTGAGATTTTTTTTCTCCTTTGCTTTCTCTCTTTCTCTTTTCTTATTGATTTATTGGCCAGGACTTTGGATGCCTTCAATTTCTTTTCCCCTATTTAGTCTCTTTCATTACCATTTTCAGGAGAAAAAGTCCGACTACTGATTTGAATAATGTAAAATAATACAGAACCAAACTAAACCAGGACGTCAGATGTCATGGAAGATGAGAAAGTTTTATGGCATACAGGGTCAACAAGATAGGGAATGTAAAATTACATTCAGTTTTTAGGAGACAATAAGAAAGTTTTAATATCAGAAAAGCATGTCAAACCACAATAAAATGCAAAAAGAATACAATGTAAATTTTCACATGGCTGCTTATATGCATTTTATGTTGAAGTTATAATTACACCGTCAGCTGGTACAACCCAAAAAAAAGACAGATTTATCCACTGACACTTGACCACAAATAACTTATAACATGTACTTTAAATCTATAACAGCAATTTCAGGATTTAAATTTCAAATATTTATCGTATTTAGTGATCACATTTAGTATAAGATTATTTGAGACTTTTTTAGTGGTAAAAATATGTGGCATCAAGATCTTCCAATTAAGCGTAAGAGACCATAATAATTATGAAAGGCTTGAACCAAGTGGCCTGCCACATGGACCGAATTAGCTGGCTAGCACACCTGTCTAAATTCAGTTCTCTATCTTGATAATTTGCTTTTAAAGCATTTCCTATTTTTATATTTGAATCCTATTAATATTCTTTCCTTTGTAGAATCATGGCACAAACTTCAAAGTAGGAATGTTATTTAACGCTTTTTATAGAAAGTGATTTGCCCTTCCCTATGCCAGTCTGACAAGGTCTGTCGACTAAATTACTTTTAACTTTCATTTTGATATCCCCAAAATTAACAATGGAAAAGTTCCCAAATTGGAAGCTGGACATGTCCATTTAAATATCAAATTGGTAGGTGAATGGTACATTCAGTTAGTTTTTGATTTACCATTTTATCTTGAAGGAAATTTTTGGTTTTGATAACAAAATTAGAGCCATCCAAAACAGCATCAATAAGAAAACAGTAATGTGGCAATATCACTCATCAATCAAGCTGCTAGTACAATTAAAAGAGCCACTAATTGCTCTAGATACCTAGTAACTGACAATGCTAAACAACCAAATTGTTCTTCTACATTTCATTTTCACCTGAAAACATCATTATTCAACAAGAACTGAATCAATCGTAAATAACAGAACCCCATTAGTTTACCATTAACCTTAGTTTAGATGGGCAATAAAATGCATACCAGAGGATATAAAACACCTAAATACGAGGGCTGTCCAAAAATTCGTGCACTGCAGTTATTGTCGTGAGAGTTATTGACAGAAAAACAAAAATTATATATCACTTGAAGGGGAGATATGTCTTTATTGAGAAAACAACAGAAAAAAACGTGTAACCGGCATGTCGTGAAAAGGAATCGTCATACAGTTACCTTGGTAACGTAATACCGGCGCACGACAAAAAATTGGGTTAGTTCATTACTTTGATGCATCACGGTATTCTTTAAACACTACATATAAACGTTAAAATTCAGGGAAAAGTATGTGTACGTATTCCTACCGTCACTTGAAAATTTGACGTCATTTGTCCCATTGTAACGGTCGTAAACAAACATTTGTGTGAGGTCGTCAATATTGTAATTATGTGAAAATGTCAGTCGCTAAACGTCTGGAAATACGGACGATCATTAAAGTCTTTGTAAATATTGGTAAGACACACACAGATACCTACAAAGAACTTAAAAGGGCAAGCGGGGACAAGATCCGTGTAACGAAGACTGTTTTTTTTAATGGCACAAAGGCTCTGTAGAAGAGCGAGAGTCGGTAGACGATGACAACCGGTCAGTCAGACGTCTGTCCGTAATGCCGGACTATGTGACGGGGGTTGTCCAATATATTCATGCACTGGTGGAATATGTTTCATGTCCGTTGCATAAGAACAATAAAAACTACAAAATACTTTGCATAAATCATTCCTCTTTTGACAGTCAAACAAATTATAACATAAAAAGCAAATGGCACTTTACAAGCAACAAATAATTAATACAATTACAATAATGAACTAACCCAATTTTTGTCATGCGCCGGTATTACATTACTAAGGTAACTAAATGACCATTCTTTTACACGACACGCCGGTTAGTCGGCTTTTTCTTTTGTTTTCTTATTTGAGACAGATATCCCCTTCAAGTGATATATAATGCATTTGTTTTTATTAAAAACTCTCACGACAATAACTGCAGTGCACAAATTTTTTGGACAACCCTCGTATAACCAACACAATTTCTGATCAATTTTATGTACTTTTGAACCTCTTGTATATACTTGTGAATTTACATCTTGTCTTTCTTTCACTTTATTTTTCAAATAAAATGATAATTTATATTTTTTGTTGCTTTTCACTAGTCTGTTTGTTTTGCTGGGATTTTTTAATGGCAATTATATGGTCACATCTGGCCCACCAATCCACCAAATACAGGCTTAGCCGCTTTCTTGATTGACATTCTGGTAACTTCAAGTAACAATTTCTTTGCAAGCTACCAACTAATAATCTAACCAATTTCTGAATCAGCATTAAGAGACAAAATGACCATTTGACTCAATGTTCAAGATCAATTATTGTCAAAGAGAAATGTTTCCTTGTCCCAAGGATCGAACCAGGGGCCCATTGATAACAAATCCAATGCTCTCCATGTAAATCTATAAGTGGCAGACCCTCTACACTGGAGACATTGACATTAGAGACCTTATCACCAATGACATCCAGAGGGGCTGCCAGCTAAGACCTAGTTTATAACTTTAAATGGCGCTTTTAATCATGCTGAGTAAACTACCACTGCTAGCTTGTAACTTGCAATGCCGAATTAATTTGGGTTAAGTGATTTAAACCTCTGGTTATACCTTATTATTATCATTTGATATTTAAACCTATATATTTTTTGAAAGAAAATTAAAATATCTACGTAATGATATAAAAAATAATTTTATTTCATTGCGTTTTAGTTTAATTATTGCTTACAAAAATCATAAGAAATGTAAGAATGTACCAAAATTATTAAGCAAATAATAAATATAACTGTTTATTTCACAAAGCTGATTGAGTCAGATCATGTTTTTGTGCAAATATTGTTAACCTCAATATACAAACTGAAATATGATATTTGACAAAAAATACAGTTTATCACAATATAATCTAGAAATCTGCCATTTTTCTGAACTTTTTACAAATGAATAAAACTGAAAAGATTCCCACCATCCTGGATTATTTATGTTTAACTTGACCCCAGATTATAGAAACAATTAAGATAATTTCTCCTGCATTCACTGGTGATTATTTCTTATCAGTATGACAGTGCTGATTAGTGTATTCCCCGGTGTGTATTGGATTACTAACAAATCCAGGATATCTCGGTGTCGGCAGCTGTGGTAAGGACATAAAATCAGTACATGTTGGTGATGGCATGATAAGGGCGAATGTTGTCAGTTTTATTCATTTGTTAAAACGTTCAGAACAATGGCAGAAGGGCAAAATAGACGAATGCATGTGCAAGATGTCTTAGAACAATTGTTTGATGATGAAAATGTATATAATTCTAGTTCCAGTTCTAGTGACACTGATAATTATTTTGATCAGTCAGAAAGTGAGCAGGAATATATTGAGGATTTATTAAATAATGCAAATTTAGTGCAAGAACTGTCTATTGAACAGTCTGGAAAGGATATGATTTTTGACATTGACAGTCACAATGGATGGCAAAGAGAAGATCATGAGCCATCTGTGATGCCATTCGAAGGAAGACCGGGTCTAAGATGTGATCTTCCTAACCACGCCACACCTATGGACTTTTTTTACCTGCTTTTTGACGCAGGAATGTGGGATATTCTTGTCATAGAAACAAACAAATATGCACAAAGAAGAATTGAAAATGAAAATCTGAAACCTTACAGTAGATTGAACGATTGGTGTGATGTAACAGTTGATGAAATGAAGGTGTTCTTTGCACTTGTAATGGCAATGGGTCTTGTAAGGAAATCCGATATTGCACAATACTGGTCAACTAAGGAGTGTGTCAATACTTCCTTTTTTGGAAAATATATGACAAGGAACAGATTCCATCTGATTCTATCAAACCTTTATATTGTCGACAACAACCTTGCTGTTCCAGAAGGGCAACCCGGATTCGACAAATTGTTTAAAGTGCGGCCATTCATACAAATGTTGCATAAAAATTTCCTTAAGTATGAACCTGAAAGAGACATTAGCTTTTACGAGGGACTCTGTCCATTCAAGGGTAGAGCTCATTTCCGTGTATACAACCCTATGAAGCCAAACCGATTTGGAATTAAATTGTACCAAGTTTGTGAGGCTAAGTCTGGCTACACCATTGGCTTTGATGTATATCATGGTGATACAGATGTCATACAGTACGTAGAAGCACTTGAAGATGAAGATACACAAGGTTCATACTCAGACCTTAGCACTACAACCAAAATTGTCATTGGCATGTTAGCGTTTTGTGGTTTACTTTCAAAAGGACACCACATCTATATGGATAATTACTATACATCGCCAGAGCTGATGGAAGAACTGGACTTACTGAACACATACGCTTGCGGCACACTTAGAATAAACAGAAAGGGTGTTCCTAAAGCAATTCAATCTGTCAAAAATCTTCGAAAAGGGGAAGCAATCTTCAGACGTAGAGGGAACATGTTAGTTCTAAAATATCATGATAAAAGAGATGTCCATATGTTGACCACCATTCATACTGCCAATTTAGCCGTTTTGGAAAGAGAAAATCGCCAAACGCATGAGCCAATCACCAAACCTATGCCAATAGTGGAGTACTGCAAAAAGATGGGAGGCGTTGACCTCTCGGATCAAGTTGTGCAGTACTATGAAGTTCTCCGGAAATCTGTGAAATGGTGGAGGAAGCTGTTTTTTCACATGTTCAACTTAATGATCTTGAACAGCTTTATCTTATACAAGAAATACTCAGAAGATGAAAAGAAGAAGACACATCATGATTTTCGAGCAGAAATCATAGCCTCACTCATTCAGACTGCACCAAATGCACCACGGCCAAAATCTGGTGGGCGGCAAACACCTGAACCAATAGATAGACTGACTGGACGGCACTTCTTGTGTGCAATTGAACCAAAGCCTGGGGCTAAAAAACAGGCTCCAACCCGACCATGCATAGTTTGTAATGTGGACAGGGGAGAGGGAAGTAGGAAAAGGAAGGAGACATCATTTCAGTGCAAGCAATGCCATAAAGCACTTTGTGTTAGAAACTGTTTCGAGCGGTATCACACGGTCAAAAACTATCGTGCACAAAATGACCAATGAAGTGACCATGGTGCAAAATAAACAATTAATGTAGCACTTATAGATATTTTAAGACTGTCTAATACTAGTATACATAAAATTATGCTTATAACAAAACAAAACATATGACTTGATTGGTATGTTTCTTCCCTGGAAAAGGTGCAATGTTTACAATCAGTAGTCTAGATTATATTGTGATAAACTGTATTTTTTGTCAAATATTTCAGTTTTTACACACTAGTTACTAACAATATTGAGATTAACAAATTTGCACAAAAACATGATCTGACTCATTCAGCTTTGTGAAATAAACAGTTATATTTATTATTTGCTTAATAATTTTGGTACATTTTTACATTTCTTATGATATTTGTAAGCAATTTATAAACTAAAACTAAATGAAATTAAATAATTTTTATATCATTATGTAGATATTTTAATCTTCTTTCAAAAAATATATAGGTTTAAATATCAAATAATAATAATCAGGTACAACGAGAGGTTTAAATCACCTAACCCCAATTAACCTTAACCCAGCAGACTGCTGTTGTTTACATAAATTAATTCGGCACTGCAGGTAGTTAGCAGTGGTAGTTTACTTGGCATACCACAAGATCATGAAGAAATGGCCAATTAAAATAACTACTACTAACTTCGCCTTTATCAAATTTTCGCTAAAAATCTTAAATTCACTTAAGTTATTCATTTATCAAAGTGTACAATTTCATTCAAATCTCTTTTATAATGATGAGAAAGAAATATAAGTACACAAAAGATAAGAGTATTTTATATCTATTTAAGATGAGATGATATGTCAATTTTGAGTCCACAATCAGTCAGTAGTCAAAATGAGAGTTCATTGGACTACAGTAACACTGTCATATTAACAATGTAATGTCTTAGGGCCCGTCTACACCTATCCAAGTCTTGAATGCAAGTATCATATTCTCTTGTATTGGATAGTGTAGACACCCTACTTGAATGAGTTTTAAAGAGAAATTATGTGACATCCAAGAAGATAATTCCTTGCAAGAAAGTTAAGAACACATTCTATTTTTCTACAAGTTTTTGGTTGTCAAGACACTGATAACACCGGTTTGACACAAAACATGTGCCCGAAGTTTGATAGTGCTGTTATTTTTATTATTTTCTGACTTTTTGGTACATGCCCTTTGAATTTCAGTAAATGATTACAATGTCTTGGTCAAAGGAACAAATCAATACGCTGATACACAGAAGAGCAAAAATAAATAAATAAATAAAAATGAATACATTGTAAAAAAAATAAAAAAGAGCTCTTTTTCAAGTAGAGTCAAAATGGATTTAAAATGATCTTGTTCATTTAGTGAATAATTTTCATCAAATAAAGAATTTGCATCAAAATAAATTTTTGTCATTTTTTCAATTTTAAAAAAGAATGAACGCATTTCATTTACTCCATTCTGTTTTAGCTAATTGCATCATTTTCCCGCTTTTTTCACATATTTTACAGAAACATGATAGTCTTGCAAAGACAAAGGTATAAATCCTGGGCTATCTTAATGAGACATTTCAGTAAAAATTGTGCCTGAAAAAATGTTGAAAGGGCCATTTATTTAGCTTATCTAAATGTGACATGTAAGAAACTTGAATAGGTGTAGACACGGCCTTAGTAGTGACTTTGATTGCAGTTACAGTAGAATACAGAACCTGGCTTTATAGCATCTCCCTGTTTTAATAACTCAAGAGAATGCCCCGTATGGTATTAATAATCAAGGGGTTCCTGGTTCAATCCTCAAAACAAGATGTAATATCTCTGTGATAATTGATCATGGACATTGAGACTAATGGTCACTTGTTTTTCACCAATGATCATTTCAGGAATCATGTAGGAGTAGCCCGGTTAATAGTTGGTCACTTGGAAAGCAGCTTGTGATTACTGGTGATCGAGTTAACCAGGAAAGCCTATTAGATGGATCAACCACTAAGATATGACCCAAAACTTGCCTTAAAATTGGCATCTAAACCTGAAAACAAACAATGTTAACACACCAGGCTTTAAAGCAGTTGAACTGGCAATGGACAGCTATCCTATACAAAGCCATGTATTGTAAAAAACTCAGGAAATCAGAAAAATGGGCAAAAGGGGTATGAACATTAATAAATTGTGTATATACCTATTTACTCATATACTTGAAGATCAAACACAACATGTCAATTTCCATGGACACACAGATGTTTTAGAAAGTTTATTAAATGATATTAAACCATCCCATAAACTGCTTGGCATAAATATTGAAATTAAATGCCAATTACTCTAGTGATAAAGAGGCTGAAATTATACATCAATTTAACCATGAATCTCAATATTCTGTGATTTAATAACAACAGTTCAGTGTGAATATAATATATCAAATATTTGATGGTATATGTTATAATAAAGTTTGTCATATGTTCTCATATAATCTAATAGACATTAACTCATGATGTAGACTGGAGAGTATAATAATCACTTCAACAGGTGAACCATTACCTTAATTAGGAGAACTTAAATAACCTAGCACCACCCCATTAAACCCTCATGTTGTTGGTTGGGTTTTCTGTCACACCATACAGAATAGGTCATAGGCGACTTTCCAACTTTAATGGTGGAAAAAGACCACAGGTGCCCTTATGTGCATATTTCAAGCACAACGGGCACCTGAGTAGAACCATCAAGCTGGATTCTGAGCTACCTCACATGAAAGAATCCAAATTCCCTGTCGAGATTCGAACCCATATCGTGAGAGGCATTTGACAAATCCTTGTCATGTTCTTTTATAAGTGTGATAAGGGTCATGTTCTTATAAGTGTGATTAGGGTAATAACTAATTACCTTCTAAAGGCTATAAATTTATATATTATAGCAACTCTGCACTTCCAAACAATTCTCTAAAACATTCTGAAAGTTCTGAATTTATGCAAAGCATGACATGTGCGTTCAATAGATTAGGAAGAATTAAAAACGTTCAAATTTAAAATGTGCATTTACTGTTTACTTAATGTATGTTATTGTATATAAGGAACACAAAAACTTGTCCTTGGTCCACAATATATTCAATTTGCTATACTGAATCAATATGAAAACATACTATAATATTTACATTTATTTAACAAGGTGAAAGCCTTTTAAGTTTTAATTCAAACAGTTTTAAGTATTCTTAATAAAATAAAATACACGGGATTTGCATTCAATTAGAGATTTCACATACGAATAACAAAATATCTCTCGTGAACATTTTAAGACTATTTAACAATTAAAGTTGCACTTCTCGTAACAACTTAATTACGGAGCGCCAAAACCCTTCAATCATGAAATTTAAACATCTTACATTTTAGTCAAAATATATTGACTTGCCAAAGGTATAGATTCTGATACAGTTTTGTTCTGGGTTCTAGAGGGGGAGGTATTGCCCATACACAAAGTAACACAGTATCTCATCATGTAGTACAATTAGTTGGACTACTTACAGAATTAGATCAACTGGGGCATAATTTATGAAACAAAAAAATATTAAACAGATAATACCTACAGCTACAGAAACATACTTGGAATTTAACTGAAAATAGATATTTAGTGCGGTTAATAGCCAAATTTGAGTCAAAAACGTTTTTAAAATTTATTTCCTCAAATTAGCGGGTCATTCTTGTATTCACAAATTAAAAATCTAATTCCTTCAATCAAACGGTTTCATTTTAAAGCAAATGAATTGTTGATTTTGCAACCAGAGTTCAATTGCAATTTTGTAAGATCTTCCTTCAATTACCGTAAGGTTGTAAAAAATCTTGAAAAAAAATACTGCATGGATGTGGCACAGGCCCCCTTAGGTTCAGGTTTAATGTTTGTTGTAAAGTCTTATCTGAGATTAAAATCAGCGTACCCAATCTTGCCTTTGTTTTCAAGGACATCCGTGTTGAAAGTCTATCCATTTTATTGAAATATACACTAGATGGCATATCAGAGAATTAACATTATTCCTTTTAAACTCACTTAAATATCTATAAAACTCAATTTTCACATCGAAATTTTATAATTCACAATAACATGTAGATTAGGATATATCCCAGCTTTAATGAAAGGTATTATCGCCTTGTGGTTTATATATAGCACACTTCAACGATTTTTCAGTTTGTAATTTTTTTTTACGATAATAGATATACTAGATAAACGTCTGTGGCATGAAATGCAAACACTAGTATGAAGTCATATATAGTGTACCTATGTACCCGAAATGGATGTTTTGTCGTATCTATCAAGGTTGTTATCTCATCAACGAAACCATGATTGATCTTGTTATATACAACCAACACAATATAAACATTTTAATAAAATAGACACAAATGAAAGACATTCATAAATGAAATTGCTGTGCACCATCATCACAATATAAATTGTGTGATCAAAGTTAAACATCAGTAAAAGTTGAAGTAAAATTAAACATTATGAGAAAAATTTAAACCTCAAATTAAACATTAAATGAGTAAAATTTAAAACCTTGAATAAAACATGTGAGTAAAATGAACATTTGAGAAAAATTTAAAACTAGAATTGAATTATATATGTAAAATATATTCTCAAATTAAACATATGAGAAAAAGTAAGGTTCAAATAAAACGTAAACTAAATTTAAACCAATGAGTAAAATTTAAACTCTATTTTATTTGTAATATATGTTACAAACTAAACTTGAACGTAATTATGAGTAAAAGTCAAAATCAAATTAAACATAATTATTATGATTAGATTAAAAGTTAAACATAAATAACTTTAGAAATAAACAGAAGGTATATTTGTTGAGCGATGACACGATATTGATATTGCAATAAGATATAACGATTAATTATTAATTATGATTGAACGTTGATGACAAATATATAAGTTAAACGCACCAAGTTAAACACTGTTCAAAAACACATTTACATCTGTCGGTATAACCTCATTACTGTAATAACGTGATTAAAGTAAATTATGTGGAAAAAAAATTAAGTAAATTTATCACTGACAAAGAGTTTTGCTATATAAAATATCACGCACTAAACTGATACATGGTTGTATCATTAACGCATTTACATATCCGTAACAAAAAATGAAAACATTAAGATTTTTTTATCTCCATGAAATGAAAACCTGATGATTGTGTGATATGGACAGAACATTACCTAAACACCAACTTTATAATACTTTTGGATGCATAGGGAAATTCAAATTTTTTAATTTTTGTACTGAAAAATTTCCCCTCTCGTTTCAAGTTTTAAAACTTCATTTTAACTACAACATTTAATTCAAGGTTTAAATTCAATTCTGTATTTCAATTTTCAAACAAGCTTGAAGGTTTTGCATTTAATCTGACAAATTTT